GAGCTCCAGAGACAGAAGGGAGAGCTCCAGAGACAGTGGGGAGAGCTCCAGAGACAGAGGGGGACCTGGGGATACTGTGTCAGAAGTCCCCAGTAGGGTCAGCTGAGCTGTTGGGAAAAAAATAAGCCATAGAACGGAGTTAGAAGAATCAGCCATCCCCTGGGTCCCGAGCCCATGTCCTCCTGCAAGATCCTGTCTGGGCCCCGGCGCTCACCGGGTCTGGGCAAGGCCTGCAGGCTCAGGAGCAGCACCAGCACAGTGTCCACAGCCCCAGTCGAAGAGTGTTGGCCAGGCCCATCTCCCAGGCTCGTTTTTAAAGGCTCTGGGGACTATTATGAGTCTCAGGAGAGCCAGGTGTGCAGGGCCTCCGTCAACACCAGAATCTCCATCCCCAGGGAGAGGTCACCAAGCTGTCCCAGGGGATTAACCTGTCTCAGCCTGATCCCAGGAAGTACCTGCAGGCTCCCCGACCTGGCCCTTGAGCTATTCCCAGACTAGGGATCCGTCCCCCAGGTCTGAGTCAATCCACAGCCCAGACCCTCCCTTAAACGGGAAGACCCAAGTATCCTATCCTAAGGTCATCTCTTGCTCCTAGAAGTACAACATTTCGAAGTCAGGACGTACGAGTCCCTCAGGGAAGCAGGATTTAGAAGCTGGGGTTGTAGAGAGATCATGCGGGTCTGGGACTGTGCAGCTGACATTCTGGAAACCTAAGGGTAGGTTGAGAAGGTCAATACCTGAGCCATCTGTCACCTAGATTACTGCAACTCACAGAGCTTCCTATTCCTTTGACAGGGAAGGGGAAAGGGGAGATGAGGGGCACCAAGGAAGATACATGTCATGTTTGGGGACAGTGCAACATGGAAGGTCAGAACCCGGCTCTGGAGCCAGACAGCCCTGAATCCCCAGAAGCTCAACACCAGGGCTGAGTCCACTGCGCTGGAATCCACTGCTGCTGAGCTGTGTGCCCCCTGGCAAGTCATAAGGCCTAAGTCTTAATTTCTTCACCTCTAAAATCTAATACCTACTTCACAGGTCCTTATGAACTATCAAGGAATAGTTTGTGGTGAGCCGAGCACATGCCTGTAGAAAGTGTAGGGGTAGGCTAAGCACGGTGGCTCACGCCTGTAATCCCAGCACTTTGGGATGCCAAGGCGGGTGGATCATCTGAAGTCAGGAGTTCAAGACCAGCCTGGCCAATATGGTGAAACTCCATTTCTACTAAAAATACAAAAATTAGCCAGGTGTGGTGGTGCGTGCCTATAGTCCTAGCTACTTGGGAGGCTGAGGCAAGAGAATTGCTTGAACCTGGAAGGCAGAGGTTGCAGTGAGCCAAGATCACACCGCTGCACTCCAGCCTGGGGGAGAGAGCAAGACCCTGTCGCAAAAAAAAAAAAAAAGAAGAAGAAAGTGTGGGGTGCTCCTACTCTTCTCCAAGGAAGATCTCTCTGCATTCCCAAATTCTACCTCCTGCTCACTCCTCCTGTGCCTGCTCTTCTCCTCCATGCTTTCTTCCCACTAAGGTTTTCCTGTGCTCCTGTGCAAGTCCAGGAGTCATTGGCTGCCTTTACATTTACTGTGCAGACCAGGCCATATGTCTGTTTCCTGGTCTTACTTTTGGCTCTCTCCCTGCCTCTGCCCAGCGCTCTCTGTGCTCAGTCCCACTGGCTTCGGGGAACGTGGGGAGGCTGCATAGGGAAGAGGCAGATAGGAAGATGCAGGCCTGTGCCCTTGTGTGTTCAGTCGAGTTTCGTGGCTGGCGTGTCCCTGTGTCTGGCATGAGGGATGGGTTCTAATCTCTCTGCTACTGGTTGACTGGGTGGCCTTAGCAGGTCACTTACCCTCTCTGTACCTTACTTTTCTAGTTTATAAAGAAGGTCAGTACCTCCCTCTCTCCTGTGATTGACTGTCCCAACGCTTGCCTGTGGGGGTCTCAGCCGGGAATAGGTGGGCGTCCCTTTTCCGTGGGTGCACAAGGCAGGGGTGGGAGGACGTCTGATGAAACTCGTGTCTCCACCTGACAATCCAGGATGCGTTAGAGCAAGTGAAACAGAATGGTCAGCAATGGAAGTTCCCATTACCAGATTTCTCATCTAGAAAGCCACCAAGCCTGGAGGAGCAGGGTTCACAGTCCATTATAGACCCGACTCCTGTTCTACTCTTTCTCCCCTTTTCATTACTGCACTTGACTAGTCTTAAAAAAAATTAAATTAAAAAGCTAAGGGAGCAGGAGCACCTCGGTTCGGGAAGAAACTTGGCTTAATCCACCCCTCCCTTTTGGGCCCACATTCCTGAGCCCTTCAGTGTCAAGAATGATGAAAATTAACTGCAGTTAATAATTAATATCTAAAGAGCCTTGGGAGGCCCAGGCATGGGTGGGGCCCAGACACCAGCAGGATGGACGCCTCCCTGGTCCCCGCTTCCCTCTCGATTTCCCTCTCTGTGGGACCAACACTCACTCCCTCGAACCTAGAGACACAAGGGAGGGGTGGGAGACAGAGTTGAGGAGAGGGGGCCTCCCTCTGTTTTCCCCAGGAGCATAGTGAATGGTCCTTTCCTGGGTCCTCTCTTGCTGGGAAAACTGAAAAATCCAGTTGACCAGATTCCCCCTCCCATTTCCCCCCAGATACTTACGCTAAGGCTTGAGTGGGGTGTGGAAAGCAGGCCTGGTAAGGAGAGGCCACCAGGACTTTCTCTCCTCCATCCCAGGAGCGTGGTGGCCACTATGGGGTCTGGGCTGCCCCTCTTCTTCCTCTTGACCCTCCTTGGTAGCTCACATGGAACAGGTAAGGGCTAGAGGGCAGGACTCCCTGGTCCCTGTGGCAAGAAGAGGCCAGAGAAAGGGAGTGGGACTCCAAGGTCCCTGAAAGAGACAGAGGCACCCCAGTCCTGAGCTTCTAAGAGGCTCTTGGGGGACACTGTTGGGGAAGAGGAACTGTGGCAGGGAGCGTGGGCAGGACCGTGCTGGTCTCCGGGGGAATCACCCCTGACGGCTGGGTCCTAAGCGCTACTTCTGGATCCACCGGGCCAGGTATGACTTTGCAACTGAAGCTGAAGGAGTCTTTTCTGAGAAATTCCTCCTATGAGTCCAGCTTCCTGGAATTCCTTGAAAAGGTAATTCTTTGGGAGGGGGAAATGATGGGGCTGTGTGTTTGTGAGTCAGTTTGAGCCTCTCTGCTGGGGTCTGGCCACCTCCATGGGAATGGAGAGCTTTTTTTTTCTTGACATGGTCTTGTTCTGTCACCAAGCTGGAGTGCAGTGGTGTGATCTCAGCTCACTGCAACCTCTGCCTCCCGAGCTCAAGCAATTATCCTGCCTCAGCCTCCCAAGTAGCTGGGATTACAGGGGCCACCACTACACCCAGCTAAGTTTTGTATTTTTAATAGAGACGGGGTTTCACCACATTGGCCAGAATGGTCTTGATCTCTTGACCTTGTGATCTGCCAGCCTTGGACTTCCAAAGTGCTGGGATTACAGGCATGAGCCACCCAGCCGGGTCAAGAGAGCTCTCTTACATCTCGCCCTTTAACCCTTTGTTCCCAGCTTTGCCTCTTCCTCCATCTCCCTTCAGGGACCAACGTCACCCTCCACCATGCAAGATCCCAACACCATGTTGTCTGCAACACATGAGAGCCATTGAAGCCTGTGTTCTTCTTGGCCTGGGTTTTGGGGCCGGGGGTGCAGGGGGTGGGCCCTGACCCTGCCTTTCAGCAGGTCCCATCCTGCTGAGTGGCAATAAATAAAATTCAGTATGCCGAATTCAGTAACTTGCTTGACTCTGTGGGCCCCTGAGCACAGAGCTGGCAGGAAGAGGGGGTTGGGTGCTCAAGTCTCTGACTGAGCCCTGCTGAGCAGAGGGTTCCAGAGATGGACGCTCTCCCCCTCAACACCAGTGTCACAGGCCTAGAAGGTATCTGGGGAGTTGTTTGGGGACAGTCACACACCACATACATTTACACATGCACATGAACACACACTGAGTTGACATCTTCAGAGCACCTGGGAATAAAGAGAAGCAGCATTTACTGAAGTCCTGCTTTTCTCCTGCTTCCCTATTTTGATGATTGCAGCAGTCTTGAATGTGGCAAAGATATCATTATCCTACTTTAAAGATAAGGAAATTGAAGCTCAGAGAGGGCAAGTCACTCTCCTGAGGTCTAACAGCAGTGGAGAAGTCAGGTACCAGACAGATGTCTTGGTTTAAGCAAGATTTTAATTTCATCGCCCTTTACTTAAGCTTTGGGGCTGGGAGGTTCAAAACCAAACAGAGATATAGGCAGAACAACCCCAGGATATGGTCCCCCCAACCCAAGGACCCACACAGGTAATCAGGGTGGGAGGTGTGGGGGGCACTCAGGTGAGAGTTGAGGAGTTCGGCTTGTGAGAGGATGGCCAGCCAGGCGCAAGTGGTGGGGAAGTGCAAGTGGTGGCCAGGTGCAAGCTGAGCCTGTGCTGGGCCACGTGAGCATGAGGCCACACAGGCCACACGGGCCACATGTGAATCCTGGGCATGTTTCTTATCCTCTTAAAGCCTCCATTTCTTCACTCACAAATGGGGACAAGGATGGTAACTGCTTCAGGGTGACAGGTCTTCCACCAGGTTACTTAAGGGTGTATGCTGCTGCTGCCTGACTCCTGAAGGCCAGGTGGTGAGCCAAGGTCATGGTGCCTGGCCAAGGAGCAGGTGTCCCTGATAGCCCAAACATCGTGGAGAGTATCTGGGAACCCACCAAGGAAAGCAGTCCCATCACGCACACACAGTAGGCAGAGTCAGAAAATTAGCTTGAAAGCAGCTTCGGGGTGGGAGGCAGCACATATCTCTAAAGCTGTCCTGCTGCCATCCAGGAGTGCCCTGTGTGTAAGTCCTAAAAAACTCATACTCACCAACTTGGACTTGTCTGAGCCACTTTTCGGCCCCTGAGCTCCCTCCCAGTTTGGGGGAAGGTTTTTCTTTTTTCTTTTCTTTTTTTTTTTTTTTTAACACAATCCTGAGTTTTTCTCATTATACCTGCACCATCAGATTGTTGTGAGGATCACAGGGGTAAGCTACTTAGGGACATGCCATAGCCTGTCTTATAGGATGTTGGCAGGATGGTAGGCATTGCTGTTAGGATGGAAACCTAGTCTCAACACGCAAGTCCTAGTCCCCTGGGGTTCAGGGTCCTCCTTATCCTGATTTCTATGGCAGGCACTCCCTACCACCTTCTCAAGATTATCTTGGCCAGGCACAGTGGTTCATGCCTGTAATCTCAGCACGTTGGGAGGCTGAGGCAGGTGGATCATAAGGTCAGGAGATCGAGACCATACTGGCCAACATGGTGAAACCCCGTCTCTACTAAATATACAAAAATTAGCTGGGCGTGGTGGTGCACACCTGTAGTCCCAGCTACTCAGGAGGCTGAGGCAGGTGAACTGCTTGAACCCGGGAGGTGGAGGTTGCAGACAGCTGGGATCATGCACTCTAGCCTGGGCTACAGAACAAGACTCTGTCCCAAAAAAAAAAAAAAAAAAAAAAAAAAAAGACAACAAGAGTTCAGTATGGAGCATCACTGAAGATGAGGGGAGCATAGAAAGTGGGAGAGTGGAAACAAACACTTTAAAAATTGGTCCACCTTCCTTCACAACTGTCCTGGGACAGTCAGCCCCCAAGGAGAGGTAGCAAGGGGCTCCAAAGGAAACTAGTATTTTATGAATTGCCCCAGCCTGCACGAGTGGGCAGGTGATGCCCATGGGGCGGCTGTGAAGATCCCCAAACAAGTTAGGGACTGGATATCTGAATGTCCGAGAGGTTGGTGGAGCAGACAGCTAAATGTACCTCAACCTGGTTCCTAGATCTCAGGGCCTGAGATCACCAGGATGTGATTTCCAGATTATTTTTCTCAAAAAACTGCCTCCCAAGGCTCAAAACAGTGAAGAGTGCTTTGGGGTCCACCAGACCTGGGGGTGACAGAGACTGCTAACTGGCCCCCTAATAGCCATCCCCCTCCTTTTGGATAGTCATGTAGATTTCAAATCAGCATGTGGCTTATTACATTTCCCAGCCTCCCTTGCAGCCAGGTATGGCCATGTGATCAGCTTCTGTCCAATAGGATGCAAGTAGAAAGGAGGTGGGCAACTTCCTGGTAATATCCTTGAAAAGAAAGGAGCTTCCATTTCAGAGGAGGAAAAGCAAAGTTCTTAAAACAGCCTATAAGGTCTTAGATCAGCACTTTCCAATAGAGCTTTCTGTGGTAATGGAAATGTTTTATAACTGTGCTGACCAACATAGAAGCCACTGGCCACATGCAACTACCAGAACACTTGAAATGTGGCCAGTATGACTGAGAAACTGAATGTTTAATTGTATTTACTTTAGAGAGCCAACTGGCTACTACTTTGGACCAATTCCCCACCCTTACCTCCCTGACTCCACCTCGCGCCGTCCTCCCGTTCTCACTCTGCCCCACCACACTGGTCTCCAGCTACTCTTCAAGCTGTCCAGGTGTGCCTCCATCTCAATTTTCCTCTGGCCCTTCCCTTTGTCTGAAACACTCTTCCTATACCTCCTACAAGCCTTTGCTTAAACCTCATCTTTACAGTGAATTCTGCCATGATCCACAATTTAAAACTACAACCTGCGCCCCCACACAAACACATTCGAGTCGCCTTACCTTGCTCTATCCTTTTTCTCCCCTGCATTCATGACATTCAAACATAGTATATAGTTCACTTATTTGCATGTTATTTCTCACTGTCCTGCTAGAAGGAAACAGAACTACAAGGGCACAGAACTTTGTTTCATTCACTGATGAATCCAAGTGTCAAGAATAAGGCCCAGCCCATAGTTGGTGCTCAAAAGAAAAAAAAAAAAAACTTTATTGAAACAGTAAAAACAAAAAGGAAACTGCCCATCCCCTTCTTTCCCTCCTCCCTTTGGGTGGAAATGCAGACACAGTGATGGGAGCTGGTGCAGACCTTGGGGGCAGAGTTTGACAATGTATCAGAATGGCAGGAAAATAAGATTAAAGGAGGTGTGGGCCATTATTGCAGAGCTCTGCACTACTTATGCCCAGAAAAGAAACATCCTGTCATCTTAGCCACCATTATATTTGAAGTTTAGTTGTAGCAGCCAGAAAGAGCCTGCACCTAATTTATTGGGTTAGGTCCCAGTGGAGACTTCTCTGAGCACGTGTCTTCATCTCCAAAATGGGGGCTGGGCGCAGTGGCTTAAGCTTGTAATCCCAACACTTTGGGAGGCCGAGGCAGGTGGATCACTTGGGCCCAGAAGTTCAAGACCACCACGGCAAAACCCTGTCTCTCCAAAAATTTTACAAATTAGCAGGGCGGGCCTGGGCATGGTGGCTCCCACCTGTAATCTGGGCACTTTAGGAGGCTGAGGTTGGCAGATCACTTGGGGTCAGGAGTTTGAAACCAGCCTTGCCAACATGGTGAAACCTTGTCTCTACTAAAAATACAAAAAAAAAAAATGCCTTCGCCTCCTGAATAGCTGTGCATGGTGGTGGATACCTGTAATCCCAGCTACTCAGGAGGCGAAGGCAGGAGAATCACTTGAACCCAGGAGGCAGAGGTCACAGTGAGCCAAGATCTCACCACTGCCCTCCAGCCTCGGTGATAAAGTGAGACTCTGTCTCAAAAAAAAAAAAAAAAAAAAAATTAGCAGGGCACAGCGTCACACACTTGTGGTCCCAGCTACTTGGGAGGCAGAAGGTTAAGGCTACCGTGAGCCACAACCGTGCCACTGCACTTCAGCCTGAACAACAGAGCGAAACCCTGTCTCAAAAATAAAGTGAAACTAAACATCTCCAAAATGGAGTTAACGCCTGCCTTGTGAGGTTTTCAGTAGGATTAAATGGCATTGTATATCTAGCACCATAGAGGACCCAGCCCAGGACAGGCTACTCAGAGCTGCTGGACAGAATGTACCCTGGGCGTGGAAGGGCCAGGCCCCTGAATTCCATGGAGATGAGACAGTGTTTGGAGTGGGTAAGGTGGCTGGCTGTGCTCCTGTGATTGTGAACTCAGAAGCTGGGCAGCGTCTCTGGCACTCAGGTGTCAAGAGCACTGAAGGTGGGGGCACGCCGTCTGCAGCACAGCCTGCAGCCCATCAGGTCTGGAGGGGGCCAGCTCCTCTCAGCAACTCTAGGGATAGGGCCAAGGAACAAGGAAGCTTTCATTCAGTGAGACTTAGAGGAGAAAGAGCCTGCAAAAGCCGGGGTATTGTCAGTCAGTCCAGAAGGTAGGTAGAACCGGGACCACCATGCCCATGCTCTACCCCGTGACTAGAAAGCCCCTCTGCCTCCAGCAAGGAAGCCCCCCTCCTCTATTCCCAGATCAAATTCTCAGGGGACAACTCAGAAGCACAGAAGTCACCACTAGGAGCAAAGGGGACCAAAGAGCCATAAGCAGACATGTTTGGAATTTTAAAAAGTTTATCTGAATCTCCTCATTCCCAAACTTCCAGGTGGGAGGCAGGCCAGACAGTAACGTGAGCATCTCAAGGACACCACGGTCACTGCAACGACCAAGCCAGTCTGTTTCCTCATTTATGAAATGAAGGCGATGGGCCACATAGTCTCTGACATCCCACTGCATCCTGACAGCTGACAAATGTTTGTCCTCAAAGACAGGTCTGAGGGGGAGGAAAACTGATGGGGATGATGAGTTAGAGCTCCAGGCTCCCTGGGGTTGGAGGCTTATCCATCAGCTGCCGGAGGTGAGAAACCGCCTTGTCCAATTTTGACAATTCCAGCTGGAGAGAAGAAAGCTGGACCAGGAGAAAAGGGGGTGAGGATCCAGGCATGAGGCCCACCACTCCTGGCCCACATTCCCTCAGGGGTCAGGCCTTCTGGGGGCCTCTCCTAACCTTACCTTTTGTTGCCTCTGAGTCTCTGCCTCCCCTTCTGATGGGGTTCTGGCTATGAGGCCATCAAGCTGCTTCTGCAACTTGTGCCTTCGGGCAGCTAACAGAGATAGCTGGATCTGGGGGTCTACCAGGCCCTGGGGAAGAACAGGGAGAAAACGCTCAGACATCCGCATGCTGCCGGGCCTCCATCCTCCATTAGAAGGTTCCTTCCCCCACTTTATACAGCCCAGCGCCCCCCCACCTTCCTCCCAGCATGCTTCCCAAGCCTGCCCTAAGCCTCCCCATCCCCTCTGGTCACCTGCAGCTCCATGTAGACCTGAACTGTGTCACTGAGTGGAGCCTGGGCCCAGCCAGAGGGAGCTGCTGCACCTGGGGGTAACAGGCCCACAGCCCCACAGTGGGCCAGGGTGGCCAGGGGCTCCAAGAAGGTGTCAAAGAGGCCCTGCTCCCCAGGCTCTGAGCTCTGCAGCAGCACTGGAAAGACAGAAACCATCAGGGGCAAGGCCTCGGCTCCTGCCTGCCTTTCCACCTGCACCTCCTAATGAGGGGGTCTACCCTTCAGGCTCTCCTCTTTTCCCCACCAGCTCCCTCTTCCTGCAAAGAACCGAGCCCAGGACCCGCCCTGCCTCACCTCGGGGCCGGGCTTTGGTGAGCTGGTACGTGGCTCGGAGAGCCCTCAGCACCTGCACTGCCTCCTGGACCCGGGAGAAGTGTTGCTCCAGCTCCAGCTGGCGCCAGTGCTCCTGGAGATGAAGGACCCAGAGTTAGCAAAGGGGCTCCTGGGAGACTCAGTACCAACCCTCTGGCTCTGTCCTCGACCCATCTGCCCCATCTCCTTATGGCAAGGAGATCTGTCCTCAACACCACAGAAAATCCACTATCTCAAGGAACACGACAAATAGTGAGGTGTCATCTAGAGGTTCCAGATGATCAGTGTTTGAAGTCAGTTTAGTTGCTCTGATTGAAATGGCCAACCAAAAATAAATTAGAATTTAAAATGATTTAGTCAAAACTCAAAAACAAATAAGTATAAAAGATATTTAAATAGTTAAATTTTAAAATAATTTTTGGGTGCATTTATAGCATTTATCCTTCTGAGGTTATGAAAGCTGCACTGAGATTTTGGGGACACCCACCCTCATCACAACCATGACATATACTGTTACTGTTCCTCGTTTAAACATGGGGGAAACTGAGGCTTGATCACACAGCTCAAAAATATCAGTCTAGCAACAGAGTCCTGCTTTTGAGCACTATGCTAATACTGTCCCTCAAGACCCTAGGGTCATCACAGCCACCGTGCAGGAACAGTCCATCCTCCCCAGGGATCCACAGTAAAGTATAAGCCATTCCTGCAGATGAGCCCCTGCAGCGAATGCTTTCAGAAGGCGCTCGCCACTTTTCACCAGAGAGCCCACTCTGAGGTGTCATGTACCTGGGACTCACCAAGCTGCAGGCGCTGGGGTAGGGGGCAACCGAGACGCTGGGGGCAGGGGGGCAACCAGGCCTGGGGGGCAGCCTCTGCCAGAGCTCTTCAACCAGGAAGGGCATCAATGGGGCCAGGAGGCGGAGGCCAAGGTCAGCGCAGGAGAACAGGACCTGAGGGGGCCCCAGGGGGCGGGGCGAGTGCCGCAGCACAGGCTTCACAGCCTCCTGGAGAGGAAGCCAATGGTCAGAAGACAGGCCAGGGCCAGAGCCCGCCACCCCACGGCCAGTGCCCTACCCGCCAGCGGGACAGGTCATGGGTCCTGGGAGAGAGGAACAGGCAGAAGCACTTAGCACGTCCGATATGATCTGAAGTCCCAGGACACACTCAGCGCAAAGAAGGGAAACCCAGGGCAGCAATTCTCAGAAGTAAACGGGGATAAGATTTCCAGGAAAACGTGTATAGGGAAAAAAATCATTGACCTTTTTTTGAGTTTTTGATTTTTTTTTTTTTTTTTTTTGGTTTTTTGCTTATCAAAAAGGGACAAAGGTTTTTAAAAGGCTGAGCTAGGGCAGTGGTTCGCAGCCAGCAGCAGCAGCACCACCTGGGACAAGAAATGAATATTCTTAACACCCACCCACCCCACCCAGCCTGCTGAAGGAGCCGCTGAGGGGCAGCTGGGATCCATGGTCAACAAGCCGCGCGGGTGCTTTGGGCATAGGACAGCGTGAGAACTCCGGGTCTAAAGCCCACTGCTACCTGCCCCCAGGCCTCTGCACGCAGCCTGCCCACGGGCCAAACTCAGCAACTACAGGGACTGAAAAAAAATGCCCCTCTGCTTTCTGACCCCGACTTGTCAGACACTTCTAGAAGTCTCCTCCTCGTCCTCTCCCCAGGTGACAGGCAGGCAACGGTGCCTGGCCACACTGCTGAAAGCAGTCCCAGGAAGAGGGGAACTGAGACTACTCCTTCATCTCCTCTCCTCTCCTCTCCTCTCCTGAAGGGACGATTGGGAACTTATTAACTCCAGAGCTCTATGACATGGAATCGGATTTCCAGAGGAATGAGAAGCAGGTCTGCAGGGGTGGGCATGCCGAGCCTCCCCCAGCCTCACTCACTAGGTAGACGTCACAGAGGTTATGGAGCCAGAAGTGGTGCAGGGCGTGAGTGACAAGTGAGAGCTCTCGGTTGAGGAAGCCCCGCTCACACTCCCAGGCGGCCAGGGCAAGGCGGCTCAGGATCCAGGCGTCCATGGGGGAGGAGGGAGACAGCTGCAGGCAGAGGGGGCTTCAGGCCCAGGAAGGCCTGACGCCCCCTCCCCTGCCTCCTTTCCTTCCAGATGCCACCTCAGCCCCCTGACACCTGGCTACCCCTACTCCCAAGCACCTCTGCTTTCTCTTACCTCCTCAGCAGGTTGAGGCACAAATTTCTCCCCTAAGGCATTGAGGATGAAGCGCAGGGCATTCCAGATCTTGTTGCAGAAATGTCGGCAGCTCTGGACCTCAGAGACAGACAGGCGTAAGTCGCCCCCTGGAAGAAGAGAATGAAGGTAGTCTGCGTGTAGGTCGCGGCAGCACTGGTGTCCTGCCCCTGCACAGGTGCCCGCTGCCCTCTGCTCACCCAACACCCCTCGTGCAGGCTTACCCTGAACTCCGTGGGAGCAGAGTGTGAATCTCAGGGCATCTGTCCCACACTCAGGGATCCCATGAGGAAAGTCCTTTTTCTGCAACCAGAGGAAAAAGAAGGGTGGCAGATGCCTTTGTGGCTGCAGGGCCAGGACCTGGGCTGCGGAAGAAGCCAGAGGCGGTGAGCTAGAGCTGGGAGTGGGCAGGCAGCACCCACTAACCTGTGCCGCAGCCGCAATGGCCAGCTCTGCAGGGTCCAAATTTCCACTTCTCAGCTTTTCCTGCAGCACCTGGGGAGGGGGTTATTCACGGCCCAGGTCAAAGGCCTCACCTCTACAAGGGTCACACCCACGGGCCTCACTCCTCCCTGGGCCATCCTTCCTCTCTCCTGTGAACCCCGCCAACCCTGTCCCTCCTGTGGGCACTTCGTCCTCACCTGCATCTCCACTCCGCTGATGATGTCTCTTGGGTCCAGCACATTCCCCAGGGACTTGCTCATTTTCCGGCCCTGCCTGTCCCGAACCATGGGATGAAGAAGCACCTGGGGACAGGGAGGAGTCAGCAGAGGGGGCTCCACAAGCCTTTCCTTGGGGGTCCCTTGGGATCTCTGGCCTCCATACTTTTGGGGGTGATGGGAAGTGAATCAGGAAAAAGGAATTGGGAACATGGAAACAACCAAGTTAGGAATTAGAATAATGGAGGACAAGGTCTGGGGAACACTGGGGTCACAGAAAGGGGTGGGGCACTGACAGGCTGTTACCTTGCTGAAAGGCAGCTGCCCAGTGAGCTGGGTCCCCAACATGACCATGCGGCCCACCCAGAACAGCAGGAGGTCACTGCCCGTTTCCAAAAGTGACAGCGGGTAGAAATGAGCAAGGTCTGAGGTCTAGAGGGAAGACAGCAGTAAGAGGCCCAGGCCCTGGGCCCCCTCAAGCCAATGCGGGGGCCTAGCTGTGCTTTCTCATAGTTTCCCCTTCATTCTCTCCCTCTCAACCCGCCTCACCTCTTGGGGCCAGCCCAGGGCAGAAAAGGGGAACAGGGCAGAAGAGAACCATGTGTCCAGGACATCAGGGTCTGGGAAACAGAAAAGGAATGGGGACAGTTGAAACCTCGGCTTCCAGGACCTCAGACCACTGCTGCCACCATTCTAGTCCAACTCTCATCCCGAGACCAGGACTGTCCCCTTTGGCTCCATTCCCAGCTTTCCGGACCCTGCCTTCTCCACCTCTGTATGTGTTCCCCTCAAAGGCCCAGATGTGCAGTTCCCCGCTCCCCTGTACATCCCTCCCCAGCTCAGGCACTCACCCCTCTTCAGGGCCAGCTCTGCCCCTGGCCTCCCTGTCAGTTCTGCTGCTGCCTCTCTGGCCTCAGCCTCTGACCGTCCAACCACCCAACGGTCTTCTTCACCCTGCAGAATTAGTAAGGGGTTGGGGAGAGCGAGGAAGAACAGCTGACAGGTGTAAATGTCACTTCATTTTCATGTCCTCTCATGTGGTCTTAGAGTGGCCAGGTTCCTCCGGGCTGAGGTAAAGAAACCCCAGTTCAGGGAGACTTAATAGCACAGAAGGTTAAGTGAGTACGAGCATGAAGCACCTGAACAGGCAGGAGCGGGCCTGGCACTACGGTGCTCTGACTCCTGGGCCAGGTGCTCTGCGCCACACTCAGCCCTCCCAGGGCTTCTTCCTACCCACCTGTGCGCCGTCCTCTACAACCAGGTAGGCTGGAATCTGATGGCCCCACCACAGCTGCCGGGAGACACACCAGTCCCTGCCAGGAGGACATCCATGAGTCTTAGAATAACTAGTCGGTCCCTCCTCCCCATCTCCACAAGAGCTCCCCTTACCCCACCCTTACCCAATGTGGGCAAACCAGTGCTGCCAGCTCTTCTGGTGGAAGGAAGGACTGAGCTCCAGGGCCCCCGACTCCACAGCCTGGAGAGAATGGGGCATTTAGACAATGTTTGCCTTCCTGCACGGCCGCACCTCCATGGATACGACGGGCGGCCTCTGAGGTCATTTTAAAATTCAGAAAGAACCTCTCAAGCCTCCTGCAAAGATTCTGGGCTTGAGTAAGGATATGAGCCAGCCCTTTCTGGGCTGCCCGGCCTCCCTCCCACACATCCTCTCAATCACCACAGCTGGAGAGGCCTTCGGGGCGGAGGTCCTTCTGCTTCCCACTTCTTCATTCCAGTTCTCAGGGAGCTCCCCCAACCCCTGGCCCGGTCCTTCCTACACTGCAGCCTCACCTGAGCAGCTCGGGCCCCCATTTCCTGGCAGCGGACAAACCACTGGCTCTTCAGCAGGTATTCTATCACATCCCCAGAACGACTGAAAGGAAGACAGGGTGAGTCCACCGCTCCTCTGGCCCTGTGACTTCTCCCAGGGGCACAAGACCCTATGCCATGCCAGGCCCTTGGTACTGAGGATACAATAGTGAACGAACACGGAGCTTCTATTCTAATGGAGGGGTGCAGAGCCCATCCTATTGTCACTGTTAAGCTTCATGCATTCCCTTTTGGGGGTAGCCCTTAGTAAAGGAGCTAAAATGAAGTTACCTGCAGATGGGCAGTACCATGGGGTGGTTCTGGAGGCCCCGGAACAGGCCCCGTTCACTCAGCACAGACATTATCTTTTCCCGGGCCACAAACCGGTGAAGACCCTAGAGAAAAAGCAGCAAGAGTAAAGCTGAAAGTCCTCTAGAGAAATAAGAAACTGGGGGGAGGAGTAGGCAGACAGGTGCCCCCAAAGGATGGGGTAACACAGGCTGGTACCACCTGCAGCCAGTCCCCGCAGAGGGAGGTCATGGTCCCATCCTCTGCAATGACGTTCAGGGGGCTCAAGCCATGTCGGGCCCCCATCTCAGCATCAGCAGGACTGTGAGCTGGAGTCACCTTCACGGCCCCTGGGGGAGCACAGCCATGGTGAGTCCTGAACCTGACCTTGGCTTTTGCTTTTCCAGATGTATCGTCATTACCTGCGCTGCCCCATCACCCGCGCCGCCCCATCACCGCGCCGCCCCATCACCCGTGCCGCCCCATCACCGCAGCTCCCCATCACCCGCGCTGCCCCAGCCCCCTGCGACTTTCTCTGTCTGTGCCTCCCTCCCATTCTCCACTGAGACCACCCTGTGTGAGGCTCTCCCACCCCCACCTTCCTCCTCCTCCTGATTCCCTCCCGTCTCCTCCAGGATCCCCAACTCTCTCTCTCCCCTGCCCTTCACTCACCTGTGCCCACATGTGGCTGAACAGTATAATCTGTGATGAGGGGGAGAGGCTTCCCCATCAAGGGGTGACGAAGCTGTCGCCCATGTAGATGCTGAAGGGAAGGGAGAGGGATCAGGGACAGGCACCTGTGTGGGGTGGAAGGGTCTGGGCTGGGGCGTCAGAACCCCAGGAATAAGAGCAGAAAGTGGAAGGTAGCGAGCTAGAGCAAAGTCAACAAACTCTTAAGGGGCCAGAATGTAGATATGTTAGGCTTTTGGCCTAGAGACAAATTCAGTCTCTGCACAATTACTCTATTCTGCCACTGCAGCAGAGCTGGAGAGGGTATATAATAGCGGCCATAAATAATATAAAAGGTTGCACGCTGGATTAGGATCATGGGCCAGTTTGTCAACCCCTGAGCTAGAGAAAAAGTATAAGAAGGTGAGGGAGTCAAATCAGAGCCCCTGCAGGTCTGAGAGAAGTCTCAGGAAAAGGAAGTAGAAGCAAGAGAGAAAGAGCCACCATCGAAAGCCCAAGAGAAGGCCGGGCACGGTGGCTCACGCCTGTAATCCCCAATCTTTGGGAAGCTGGGGCAGGTGGATCACGAAGTCAGAAGTTCAAGACCAGCCTGGCCAAGATGGTGAAATCCCGTCTCTACTAAAAATACAAAAATTAGCCAGGTATGGTGGCAAGTGCCTGTAATCCCAGCTACTCAGGAGGCTGAGGCAGGAGAACTGCTTGAACCTGGGAGGCAGAGGTTGTAGTGAGCTGAGATCGCACCACTGCACTCCAGCCTGGGTGACAGAGTGAGACTCTGTCTCAAAAAAAATAAATAAATAAAAATAAAATAATAATAATAAACAAAATCCCAAAGAAGAGAAGGCCATGGAGGTGGGCAGGCCAGAGTGCAGTAGTGCACTGGGTATTACCGTGTAACGGGAGTCATCTGGGTGAACAGCCACAGCCACGTCCCCAGGCAGTGTCTCTGGTCTCGTGGTTCCTACCACAACCTCTGCATCTGGAGACAAACATTTAAGCACCTACAGCTGGTCATCATCCTCATCCCTCACTGCCAGCATAGCTAAAGGCAGCAGAAGAGGAAAGGGGAACGGGCAGGGAGTAGTCAACGTGGAAGAGGACCCCAGGAATGACTAGAAAAAAGTAGGAGCAGTGTTTACAGGAACCCAGGGTTTCCCATAAGCTGACGACCAGAGGCCTGAGAGGGTGTCTGGTGCTAAGGAATTTGTATGGAAGAAATGGGGGCAGTATTAATTAAATCAACTAAAGTAGAATTCTTGCTGGGTGCCCAGAGGACACTGGGGATTCTCAGGGTCCTAATCACAAATGCTGTACATTCTTCAGGGTGAGCACCTGTGCAGGGGCAGCATCCAGTGCTGCCGCCACCTACACTCAGCCCCTCCTACAAGAAGCTTCCTCTGACGATGACTCTAGCTCATCTGTCTTCCCTTTCTCTGAGTTCTTCAGAACATTTACCCTAAACACCACACCTTAGAACTGATCTTATGTCTCTTTTCTGGATAGCGCACTCCTGCAGAATTACACCACGCTCTCGAAGGGCAGTGACCACATGCACTTTTTGCACATCCCCCAGAAGACCCAGGCAGGGTAAGTGCCCACACTGAGGTGAACACTACCAAGGTTCATATGGGAGACAGACTGATGGGTGCTGAGCAGCCCAACATGGGCTCCAGAAAGCAGGGAAAACAGAGGTAAATAGGTGACCTGCAGAGGACTTTGCTCACCAGGCTCTCCATCCACGGGGAAGGCAACAGAAAACAGGAGGCCAAAAGACACAGGGGTGGGGCAGCCAGGCAGTCGAAGCTCTGCGTGGCCAGGCAGCGGCCGGTTCTCCACCTGGAGGCACCGAGAAGGCTGGGTCAGAGGGCAGCCTTTCTGCAAGGCTCGTACCCAGGTTTCACTCTGCCACTCATCCACCTGCCCAGCCTCCCTGCAACCCATCTAAAAGCCATCTGAAGGATTCAGGAGCCACCTCCGTCTGCCTTCACCCCAGTGCTTGTGCAGTCACACTTCTAATAAATATTCACTGAGCACTTAAGCCACGGCCAGGTTATCTTGCCAATCACCTAGGTGAATTCTCATTTAATTCTCATTTAATTTTTACAACACCCCACGATGCAAGCATTACATCATCTCTAATTTACAGACTGAGGAAGCTGAGGCTTAAAGAGACAAAATAGTCTGCCAAAAGCCACAAAGCCCTCGCAGGCAGGCCTTAGATTTGAATCCAGGCACCTTAGCTCCAGAGTATGAGCTCTTAACCATTGAACACCCTGCCTCAGAGCTCTCCCAAACCTGCTTCTCTCTCTCCACCTCACCTCAATGTCCGAGATGGCTGATCTTAAAGCACATGACCAGTTGACAAGCTGACGGTTCCGGTACAGCAACCCCGCCTTGTAGAGTCGCACAAAAGCTTCAGTCACAGCCGCTGAGGAGCCCTGGAATGACCTGAGTGTCCACCTCTAACAGCCGCTTCTCAGCCCATCACCCTATTTAGGGACCCAGGCATTGCCACGCCCCACACAGATTTCTAAACCTTCTCCAACACTCACAGCATCCATGGTAAAACACTCTCGATCCCAGTCCAGGGAGGCACCCAGAGCTCGCAGCTGCTCACAGATCTCTCCACCTTTCCTGTGCCCAGAGAGATCCTTGTCAGCAAATGCTTCCCAAGCACTTCCCATATACCAGGCCCAGCAATGCCTCCAGCAATGCCAGGTGCTGGAAGGTCAAGTGAGGATGGCATTGATCCAGCCTCTAGAGGCTAATAGAAACAAACTCACAAACCCAATATGGAGTTTTCTAAGACATTAAAAGAGGCAAAAGATTCTATAGGAAGAGACAGCCACATTGTGGGATATCCAAGGATGCTTCACAGAGAAGATAACATGAGATAACAGACCCGAAGAATGAGAGTAATTCCATGGGAATTGGAAGGTGGGAATGGGTGAGTGGAAGAAGTTGAGATTTACACAAGAGAAAGTGGGGTAAGTAGAGAGAAATAAAAAATGCACACACACACATACATGAATATTCAAATACATATATAATACACACACATACACACACACACACACACACACACACACACACACACACACAAATAAGGCTTGGAAATGCCACCAAATGTTAAGGGGCTCCAGGGCTTCCATCTCTGTGTTGGGAACAGCCAGGGACTACAAGTCAGGAGTGACAGTGGTGGGAGGTTAAGAACCCAAATCTGCCATCTGGGCCCCCCTACCCCTGCCCATCATACTCACGCCTCCTTCCACTGCCACACCTCCCTAAGGAAGTCCTCCCGGCTCAGTTCATGTCTCCTCACTCCCTGTTCCTTCCACAGTTGTTTTTCCACTACAGCCTGCAGTTGGATTCAGGGGAAATGAACAGTCAGGTTGGTTTCAGGGAAGAAACTGCTTTCACCCAAGAAAAGGAACATATAGCAGAAAACATACTTGTGTAGCGATTCCCGCGTGATCGGAACCAGGGACCCACAGCACTTGATCCCCACGCATTCGATGCCTGCAACAGAAGTGCCGTCCTGTGAGCACCTGTGCTTAAATGTTTATCCTCCCTCATTCCTACCCTTCCTACATCTCTTCCAAGAACTCACGCAGCCTCCACTCCCCTCTCACCAGCGCACGAGGGCATCCTGTATGGCCACCGTGAGTGCGTGGCCGATGTGCAGGGAGCCCGTGACATTGGGAGGTGGGATACACATGGAAAAGGTCTCCCCTGTAGCTTGGGGCAGCTGGGCCTAGAGGAAGAAAAAAAGTCAAAGGGCAAGAGAGAATTGGATTGAGGAAACAGCACCCTCTGCTGTCTCCAAAACAGAAAAAAACTTCAGGGAAGAACTGTCCTGCAAATAACAGAAGGGTGGAGAGGAGGGAATCGGTCAGGGGGAACCTGCCAAGAGAAATCTTTGGAGACACCAGGGCCAGAAAGAAGGCAAGGTCTACAATGTCAGCTCAACTCTGAGGTTCCAGTTGTATTCAAGGGCCACTCTGTCTTGGAGACCATTTAGGACCTCTCCCCGCCAGGTACTAACCTGATATTCTGGTTTGAAGAAGCCCTCTCGTACCCACCACGGGTACCAGGCAGCCTCAACATATCGGGGGCTGTATGCAGGAGGCAGGGGCCCCGAGACATCTGTGGAGGCAAGGAGAGCTCCACTAACCACTGAACTTGTTCCCAAGCTGCATTTCGGCCGGCCAAATGAGTAACACAAATGGGAAAGAAAAGGAGTTCTTACTTATTCTACTTACCTTTCTTTTCACCGGGTTTTGTAGGGATTTCATACAATAGTACCTCCTTAGGACTCCAGGCCTTAATGGACTCTGCAGGCGACTGAGGAGAGAAAGCAGAAGAGGCTGGGGTCCAGTATACCCCAGACATCTGCATTTCAGCCCGTCTCGTCCAGCCCCTCCCAAATCTCAGAAACCCAAGGACAAACTGTCTGACCCCTAACCTTGCTCTCCCCTGCTATCCCAGCCTCCAGAGTCGCCTGCTTCTCTCGCAGGCGCTTCTGTTTGGCTTCACGGTTCCTCCGGGAGATGGGAGATCCATGGGGTTCCGACTGTGTAGAAACGGGATGGAACCTGGAGAGGCCCCGTGAGGGCTTCAGCCCCAGAAAAGGTGGTCGAAAAGAGGATAGAGGCAAATGAGGCATCAGGAGTGTTTGGAAAGGGGCCGAGATCTGTTCTGGATAGAGAGACAGCACATTAGGATACGGGTGTGGGTGGAGGAAGCTCACTCTCCTCGTTCCATCTTTCCCGGCTCTGATTAGCACAGGTCTGTTAATCCCTCCCACACCACGTTTCCTCCTGGAGGGCTAGAGTGGCGCAGTGTCTACAGACAGTGCCGTGGGGGCACGGAGACCAGGGCTCTTCCGGAGCAGGGCCGGGGTGTCTGAACTTGGCCGTAACCACTGACACAAGAGAAGAGAGGGCACAGAAATTCAGGGAGATGATGGGCATCAGCGCTCCCAGGAGCAGGCAAGGAGTCCTAGCAGGGCCGCTGCGATCTCCGCCCGCCCAGGGGCCTCCTGCAGCGCCCACGGCCCGGCGCCGCCTGGCCTTCCCGCCTATCCCAACGCGTTGACCCAGGCCCCGCAGCGCTTCCCACTTCCCAGAGGACGCCCCGGCGTGCTCTCACCGGGAGACCCCGCCGCTATCCCAGGGCGCCCCGCGGCGGCAGGGACTAGTGACTCCACCTACCCAGACCCTGGAACTTGGCCCGGGAGCCGCGCGGCGCATGGGGGCGGAGCCCAGGCTGGCGCATGCGCAGTAGCTGGCTTCGGTCCCACCCTCTCCCTCCGGGTACAACAGTAGTCGACGCAGAGGACGGCGTTCGCAGCGAAGGCAAACACCCCAGGGAGGCGCGCCGGACCCCACTGCTCACTGTCACAACTTTATTAGACAAGAGAAGTCCCAACGCGTAAATAAAAAACACCTGAGTTCTGAAGCCCCGCCCCGCCCGGTCCCGCCCGCCGAGGTCCGCCCGGGTCCAGGTCCTGCACGCTCAGGAGCTGTGTTTCTGCCGCTTCCAAAAGCGCTTGACGTCGCTGTGCCCGGCTGGGGTCACCACCATGAGCCTCTTGGCCGAGTTCTCGAACACGAGCACGCCCAACTCCCGCGCGTGGGCTAGCAGCAGCTCAAAGTCCACTTGTGACAGGAACTGGTTATACAGGACGCCTGGGGTCGGCAGAACGGGAGGGGCACGGGGAGAAGATGAGAAAGTGAGGCTCGGAGCTCCTGCTGGAAATCCCCCCAGCTCCTTCGTGGCAGCCCTGGAGAGCATCTGGGCTTTTCCCCACTGCAATTTTAGAAACTAATTATCTATGCTTGTCTGCTCAGGGGTTTATCTTAATACTAATGTGATCGGTCATATTCATAAAGGCCCAATAGAAATTACTGTGAATTATTCCCTCCCCTAGCCAAATCCAAAGTGCATTGATTGGGGATAATTTACTACCGACTCACCCCAAAACAAAAAACTCTCCTGCCAGCTTTTTTCTCCTATTTCATGAAGTAAAAATTAAAATGCATGGAAAGCTTTTACACTGAATTGTCTGCCCATCCTCTGACCAATGACCAAGACTTGGCCACCAAAAGCGACTCACCCTCGGTGAACCGGAGTCTGTCCCTTTCTAGCTCCCAGAGCCGGATCTGGTCGGTGATGGTGGGGGGCAGCACAGGTGTCTGCAAGGAGCAAGGGTTTGCTGTAGGGACTCAGGAATACTGCCCCAAACTACCAGGCCCTCCGCTCCTTTCCCAGATTTGGATGCCCCTTTTTCTTTTCCAACATCTTTCTCATCGCCAGCTGCCAGCCTCTGACATCTTGCAGCCTGTCTGTACCTGTTTGAGCATCACTGGATGGGCCCTTGTCCTTAGGAAATGGATTATCTAGGAAAACAGACAAGAATGTCATGAGGGCTCCAGCAAGAGAGCAGGAAAGCCATCTGAGCTGTCACCTAATGTCACTGGAACATCAGCTTACTCTAAAAACTCGTAACTGCTGTCATCAACTCCACCCATCCCAGTTCAGCTGTTATCCCAAGTTGCTGCTCCCAGTGGTCACATCTGCTATTTCTTCTCCAGCACATTCGCCCTTTCCAGTAATGTTTTGTTTTTCTTTCTTTAAAATAGCATCAGCTCAATTTTTTTTAGCACTTATTGCATGGCAGGTGCTGAGCTCAATGCTTTACCCCAATTATTCCAATGAATTATCCCAACAACCCTGAGGTGAGAACTGTTATTTACTAGATGAGGAAACTGAGGCTCACAGAGGCAAAACAACTAGGTCTAGTTTATGCAGTTAGGATATGGTGGTGCCGAGGCACAAATCCAGAGCTATACCTCCGCCTTCCATTTTCTCCCTCTCAAGAGTCTGCCTGTTCTCACACCCAAAGCCTTGATTTCTCTTCAAACACAGACTCAGAGCTAGCCTTCCATAATGTGACCACCCTGCACCCCATAGCCCAAGTGTGGCCTGTCTTCCTGCTCCACCTCTCCCAAGTGGGAATACCTGCTGGGCTGTGATGCCACTGGCGATTGCCTGCTGCACACTCTCCCGGGTCACCTGCGCCACCACCATGTTGGGGAACCGATAGAGCATCTCAGAGAAGAGGGCAATGAGAGCAATCTGCAGCTCCGACTCTGAGCCAGGGATAGAAAGAGGATGAGGAGGCCACCCCCACACCCAGACTCCCTCAACCCGTTCTTTCAACTGCCATGAGAAGTGTCCGAGAGCTCTGTAAACTGCCAGTTAAATGTGAACATAAACTGGCATTCTCTCTCCCCCAGCCTGCTCTCCCAGGGGCCCTCTGTCCCGCCTCACCTGTGTAGGCATACAGTCGGTAATTGGTTTCCACGACAATGAAGCCTGGCTGATGCACAGTGCCCCCAGCTCCAGAGACACCTGATGAGAGATTGATGGCCAGGCGTGTGGGGTAGTAACGCCGAGATTTCCTCTGGAAAGGACAGAAAGGCAGATGCCTTGACACAGAACCTCAACCCCCAACTTCTCTCCCCCGAGAGACCCACGTATTCAGTCCTGCTACTGCCCCAAGACACCACTCTTTTTTAATGGTGAAGGTAACACACCACCCTGTTTCTTCCCTGGAAGCCACTTATTTAGGTACTCATACCTTCCTCTGGAAAACAAGCCCGAACTCACGCAGATGTTGTAGGAAATTCAACAGAGAATCACTCATACCTTCCACAGAGTAGTCCTGGGGATGAGAGGTGACCAGCTGGGGTCCAAAACACAACCCACCCACCCCCAACTCCACACATTCATTCTTTCTCCATCCATCTCTGCCTGTTCTGTGTTTATTCTTATCTTCTCGCTCTACTGCCCCACAACTTGCTTTCCCTTTTGCATCTCCATACCTGTCAGCCCCCTGCTTACCTTGCCCAGAGTAGAGAAGCTGAGCTGGAAGAGGAAGGAAAGAATCTCTACTAGGTCCATGCCCCGGCTCTAGAGAGAAAGAGGCAGAGACAAAGGAGAGATGGGAGGGAGACAATGGGAAGAAGGGGACAAAGAACATTAGGGAACAGTCTGTAGGCAGGAGTCTCTCAGTGAGACCTGCGAGGAGCAGAGCATGCTGGCAAGTGGCCCCCACCTCCTCACCTGGGCTGTCTGCAAATACTGCAACATAAAGTACCAGAGCTGGGCTGGGGTGTCCAGCAACAGGAACTGGAAGCCAGCAGAAGTAATGCAGGGCGGCTCTCCGGGTTCAGTACTAAGGACAAAGAGAGGGACAATGATGGTGATATGCAGAGAAAGGCTTCTATGCCCACTTGTCCACCCATGTTTTTTCTGCGTATCTCTGGCTGTATTCTACTCAGCTTGCCTTTTCCAGACAATGTCCTCTGATCTTGACTAGCCCCAGATACCATTTCTCAGAGACTCAAGGAGATGGCACAGCAGCAAGCTGCTGTACCTCTAACTTCCTTACCTCTTCATGAGCCCAGCCTGGCTGAGGAGCTGAGCCAAGTCCTGGCTGACAGCTGCACTGGGGGAGCCCACCATGAAGTGCAAGACCACCTGAAGAACAGAAAGAACAGGGAGACCATGCCCCAAGGGCCATAGGAGGTAGAAGCAAAGTCCCAAGTGCTTACCTCCCATCGCTCTTCAGCGTACTTGTCAAGGGAGGGAACATCCCTGGCATGCTTGTCTGGTCCCAGCTGACTTGTGTCATCAGACCAGGCCTTCCCCCTACAGCCAGGATGGGCCAAGAGTAAGGAACCCTGGCCAGGCACTGCGGCTCACACCTGTAATCCATGTACTTTGGGAGGCCAAGGAGGCAGATCACTGGAGGTCAGGAGTTCGAGACCAGCCTGGCCAATATGGTGAAGCCCCATCGCTACTAAAAATACAAAAAATTAGCCAGGTGTGGTGGTGGGTGCCTGTTATCCCAGCTACTCAGGAGGCTGAGGCAGGAGAATCACTTGAACCCAGGAGGTGGAGATTGCAGTGAGCCAAGATTGTCACACTGCACTCCAACCTGGGTGACAGAGCAAGACTCTGTCTCAAAAACAAACAAAACAAAACAAAAAAAGAGTAAGGAACTCTGTCTGTGTTCCTTGCTGCCCTTCTGCCATCTTTCCACCCTTATCCTCAGGGGCCATGACTGGGGGACATTTCCTACACCACACAGCTACATCTGGTCCTACATATTCCTAAAGGAGCTCCCCAAGGTGGAGACCACAAGGTTCCAGGGAGGCCCCCATAAGCTCCCCCATCCAAAGTTTAATAGCAGTTTAATTAGCAGCAATTCCCCTGGCCTAGCTTAGGAAGAGATAGAAGTCACATACCCACCCAGAAGGGCAATGCGGAGGTTCTGGCGGAAAATGGGGTTGAGGATGAGGCCCTGGAGCCCGCCTGGGAGCAGCTGGGTGTGCCAGATCCGGAGGCCACTCAGCAGCCCTGTACTTTCCTCCTGAGCCCTGGAACAGAAGCAGAGAGGTGAGTGGGGGTGTCTGGAGAACAAAGAGAAGGCCCATAAAAGTTACCATTCCTGCCTGTTCTGAACTTGCTGATCTTTGAACTACTGCTCCACAGAGTGAAATCAGTATCTTCTTAAGACAAATGTCTTTACTGCATTACCTATCAGAGCCTCATTGCAGATAACACACATAACTCTCTAAGAGGGAAGATACACTTGAAAGCAAGAAGTCAGCTGGGAAATAAAAGGGAAAACGCAGTATGCAGCATTTCCTAAATGTATTTATTTTAAAATTTTGTGATATATTAATATTTCCTAGAAGTGCTCCAAGAAACAGCAGTTTGGGAAATGTTGCTGTTGAGAAATCTGTATCTGGCTGAGACTTACTTGCTGAATTCCTTCTTCACCCACAGGGCTACAGCAGCTTGTGGCAAAGGCTGCTCCAGAAAGAGCATCCGCATCACCCAGTTCTTAGCCAAGGATGGGAGCTCCCTGTATAGGGATAAAGGTCAAAGGTTAATTTCAGAAGCTGCATTGTATCTGCATCTCTGCCCTCAATTAACTCTCAAACATCTCATCTCACTCCAGCACAGCTTTACCAGTCCTGCTGTTTTGGCCTCCCACACTTTGGAGCAATTTTCAACCCTCACCCCCAGTCCCCAGCCCCAATCCAGACTGCTATGCTTTTACTCGTGATATTTTATTCCAATCCGCAGACCCCATTACATTTCCCTGCCATGAAGGGGCTCCTCACCTGAAGACAGCCAGACAAGTGGCAGGATGCCCATACAATCGGTCCAATACCCCAGGGCTCAGGCCCCCTAAGAATTCTTGCAAATTCCTGCATTGTAGGTGTACTCGGTTCAGTCCCCTTGAAGGGGTGCTCTCCATCACCTGAGGAATGCAAACGTCAGAGGCGCACCCCCACCATCCATGCCAGTGTCACCCCTGACCTTTCTAACTCTGATTCCAGATCCATGAGCCCCCACAATAACCCAACCTTTTCTGTGGCTTCCTTTCCCATGTCACTCATCTCTTCTGGTGTCTTCCAAATCTGACCAATCTCTCGCCGTTTCTTGTCTCCTCACCCTACTTCTGCCCTTCAACTCCAGACCTCCCTCAATTACCATGTGACAGAATTGTTAACTGTCCTATGTTTGCAAGATCATTTTGTATTCAATGACTTGTCTCACCTTTGGCAAAGAAAATTGAGCCCACACCTCTCTCTTCCATCCCTCCTGGTCCAGATCAGTCAAATAAGCTCCAAATCTGCCCGTCCTTCCTATCTTCTATCTCTTAGCCCACTTCTGCTAAGTATGGCGATAACCTCTCCCCTTCACGCTTCCCAAATCTGAAGTCACCTCTTTTCCCTTCCCATTCACCTTGACCCATCTCCCACACCTGGCCTCTCACTCACCTCTCTCTCTCTCATACCTATGCCACTCCCACCCTCCTAGGTCCCCTCACCGCTCTGTCGATCCTCCTCGTGCACCCCGAGTCTCGGGTAGTCGCTTAATCGGAGCCAAAGTCTCGCATTGGCTCCTGGAGATTGAAAGACGGTAAAAAAAAAAAAAAAAACAAAAAATAAAAAAAAAAAAATGCTGGGGAAAGCGACGAAAGACTTCACAGACAAGAGCCCAGAATGGAGAATTCAGAAGAGAAGGGAGGTAAGGGAAGGAGTGGAAAAGTGAAGACGGTGAGAATAGGCGCTGCACGCTCCCGGCGCGGGGGATGCTGGGAATTGGAGTCTTGTCTTTGCTCTCCTTGGAGCCGGCTGAAGCGCGTCTGACTACAAATCCCGAAAAGCACCGTCGGGAACCCGAAAGGAGAAGAGCTGGCTTTTAATTTAGAGAGCGGGAGACACCAGAAGTCAGGCCAGTTGGTTCCGCGAAGGCAGAAGCAACTCCGCCCACGCTGCTAACGGCGCGTCTAACCGGCCTGAGCAGGAGGCGGGTCCGGGAAAGTAGAAGTGCCTGGAGGACTTCTTGGCGGAGGCGCGCCATGGCGACTTGGTGGTGAGCCGTTTAGGGGTAGAGGCCACAAAAGTGGATTCCGTGAGCACAATTACTCCCGGTAAAATTGAGATAATACACACTCCGGGACTGGCGCGGTGACTCACGCCTGTAATTCCAGCACTTTGGGAGGCCGAGGCAGGCGAATCACCCGAGGTCAGGAGTTCGAGACCAGCCTGTCCAACATGGTGAAATTCTGTCTTTACTAAAATACAAAAATTAGCCGGGCGTGGTGGCGGGCGCCTCAGCTACTCAGGAAGCTGAGGCTGGAGAATCGCTTGAACCTTAGAGGCGGAGGTTGCAGTGAGCCGAAATCGTGCCATTGCACTCCAGTCTGGGCGACAAAAGCGAAACTGTCTCAAAACAAAAAAAAAAAAAAAAGAAAAGAAAAGAAAGAAAGTATACACATTCCGGACGGTTTCCACAAGTTAACGATTAACACCATCCAGTGCGCCTTACTTGGCCCTAAATACTCAATAAATCTTAATTTCTGCCTCCATCACACCTCAAACCGTTTTCTTAGAAGACCCTGATAAATACAGTTTTTAAGAGACCAGCTGTTTGCTCTGATTCGATTTATGAACCTGCTACAGAGAAAGATAGAGGTCTTCACCCAAAGCCAGAACTACACATTTCCCCAAATTCCTATAAGCAAATTCTGTTACTCCCATTTTGTAGACTGGAAGACCGGAGCCTGGCAAGATTAAGAAATTGGCCTGCAGCCTGGCGAGGTGGCTCAAAGTCATGACCCCAGCTACTCAGGAGGCTGAGGCGGGAGGATCCCTTGAGACTAGGAGCTTGAGGCTACAGTGAGCTATGATTGAACCAGCCTAGGTGACAGAGCAAGACCCCCATCTCTCTCTCTCTCTCTCTCTCTCTCTCTCTCTCTCTCTCTCTCTCAAATGAAGTCTCTCACTCTGTCGCCCAGGCTAGAGTGCAGTGGCACAATCATGGCTCACTGCAACCTTGGCCTCCGGGGTTCAAGCCATTCTCCTGCCTCAGCCTCCTGAGTAGCTGGGACTACAGGCACGCACCACCATGCCCAGCTGATTTTTGTATTTTTAGTAGAGATGGGTTTTCACCATGTCGGCGAGACTGGTCTCAAACTCCTGACCTCATGTGATCCACCTGCCTCAGCCTCCCAAAGTGCTGGGATTATAGGCCTGAGCCACTGTGCCCAGCCTGAGACCCCCATCTCTTAAAAAAAAAAAAATGCCTACAATCAGACAGAAAGTGCCTAAGCTAGGATTTGAAGCACATTTGCAAGAGACCAGGGATCAAAATGGTAATGACTGTGTACGACTTTGTTATACTTTGTAGCCTACCCATGTTTTCTGTTGTCCTTGTTTTCTTAGCAATCAATATTTTGGGTTTTTTTGTTTGTTTTTTGTTTTGTTTATTGAGACAGAGTTTCACTCTCGTTGCCCAGGCTGGAGTGCAATGGCGCGATCTGATTTCACAGCAACTACCACCTCCTGGGTTCAAGCGATTCTCCTGCCTCAGCCTCCTGAGTAGCTGGGATTACAGGCATGTGCCACTACGCCCAGCTAATTTTGTACTTTTAGTAGAGATGGGGTTTCTCCATGTTGGTCAGGCTGAGCAGGCGTGAGCCACCATGCCCAGTCAGCAATCAATGTTTTAAAATCTTCAAAGAACAGCTAAAAATTGACAAAGCTTCTCTATGACAAAGCTTCTTTATGGTAAGGTTGAAAGACAATTACAATCTAGGAATAAATGGTTGATGAAATAAACAAAATGCAAAAAGCTGTTACAAAGCAATAAGAAAAAGAAATGTAATAGAAAGATTGGGGCTGACCACTGCTTACCAGTTAGCCTTGCTCAGCAAGGAGCAGCTAAAAAAAGAGAGAGACAGAAAGAAAGAGGAAAGAAAGAGAGAGGAGAGAGAGAGAAAGGAAAGAAAGAAAAGGAAGAAAGAAAAGAAGGAAGGAAAGAGAGAAAGAGAGAGAGAGAAAGGGAAAAGAAAAGAGATCTGGGCAGTGGCTCCAGCCTATAATCCCAAAACTTTGGGAGGCCGAAGCAGGTGGATTACTTGAGCTCAGGAGTTCCAGACCAGCCTGGGCATCATGCAGAAACCCCACCTCTTAAAAAAAAAAAAAAATTAGCTGGGTGTAGTGGTGTCCTCCTGCAGTCCCAGATACTGCAGAGGCTGTGGTGGGAGGATCACTTGGGTCCAGGAGATTGAGGCTGCAGTGAGCAGTGAGAGCACCACCGCACTCCAGCCTGAGCAACAGTGTGAGACCCTGTCTCAAAAGGAGAGGGGAAGAGAGGAGAGGACAGGGGAGAATTGGGGAGGGGAGAACTGGCAAGGGGTAAGGAGCAGGAGAGAAGGAAAGAGAAAGAAACAAAGATTGGCCAAATCAAAAAGAAAGTTTAAACAAAATATCAGAAATTTTTAAAAATTAGCCAGGCCTGGTGCTGTGGTCCCAGCTACTCAGGAGGCTGAGGCAGGAGGATTGTTTGAACCCAAGAGGTCCAGGCTACAATGAGCTGTGATCCAGCCTGGGCTATAGAGTGAGACCCTATCTCCAAAAAAAAAAAAAAAAAGTAAACAAAAGAGAAAGGAAAAGAAATTAGCTGGGTGTGCACACACCTGTAGTCCTAGCTAGTCGGGAGGCTGAGGTAGGAAAATTGCCTGAGTCCAAGAGTTCAAGGCTGCAGTGAGCTACGATTACACCACTGCTGTCCAACTTGGCCGCAGAGTTAGACCCTCTCTTATAAATAAATAGGCTGGGCACCGTGGCTCACACCTGTAATGCCAGCACTTTGGGAGGCTGAGGCGGGCAGATCATGAGGTCAGGAGTTCAAGACCAGCCTGGCCAACATGGTGAAACCCCATCTCTACTAAAAATACAAAAATTAGCCAGGCGTGGTGGCAGGTGTTTGTAATCCCAGCTATTCAGGAGCCTGAAGCAGGAGAATCACTTGAACCCTGGAGGCAGAGGTTGCAGTGAGCCAAGATCGTGCCACTGCACTCCAGCCTGGGAAACCGAGCAAGACTCCATCTCAGAGAAAAAAAAAAGAACAGAGAGCCAGGAGCCCACAGGCCCACTTCCCACAGGCTTCACTGTTAACTGTGCTACTTTGGGCAAATTGCTTAACCTAACAGAATTCTTTTCTCTGTGAAGTAATTTTAACTACTTCATTTATTGTTGAATTAAGATATAATATGTAGTAATTTCAATACCTGGCATATAGTGGGTGCTCAGCAATATATCATCATCATTCTTTTTTTTTTTTTTGAGACGGAGTTTCGCTCTTGTTACCCAGGCTGGAGTGCAATGGCGCGATCTCGGCTTACCGCAACCTCCGCCTCCTGGGTTCAGGCAATTCTCCTGCCCCAGCCTCCTGAGTAGCTGGGATTACAGGCACACGCCACCATGCCCAGCTAATTTTTTGTATTTTTAGTAGAGACGGGGTTTCACCATGTTGACCAGGATGGTCTCGATCTCTTGACCTCGTGATCCACCCGCCTCGGCCTCCCAAAGTGCTGGGATTACAGGCTTGAGCCACCGTGCCCGGCCTATCATCATTCTTATTGTAACTTTCACTTATTAATCCTAGTTCTAGTTCTGTAACTACACAGAATCTATGTCAGTCCATCAGATATTTGATACAGTTCTTTCTTTCAACCAATATTGAGCCCTGCATTCCAGGAATTTGCCTTTGTGCACCTTATAGTTTAGCAGGAGGGACAGGTATAAAAAATATATATACATGCCCAAATACAAGTAAAATTACACATGTAATTGTGTAATTACGTGTGCTGCAAAGAAGAGATTCATATGCTCTGAGATTATCAGTAGGGGATTTGACCCGGTTGGGGAAGTCAGGAAAGACTGCTGGAGGGCAAGCAGGAGTTCACAAGGCACAGACTGCAGGGAATGTTGTTCCAGGTAAGGGAACAGCATGCTCCGAAGGCCACATGGCAGGAAGGACTGTGGCCCATTGGGCGAATCTGAAAGAAGGCCAGTGGCGCACAGAGGAGAGCATGCGGCGGGAGGGGACGCTGGAGAGGCATGTAGGGGCCAATCTTGGCCGGGAGGATTTTGTTCTTTAAGATGTATGAAAAGCCACTGCTGGGTTTGAAAGAAAGGCGTAGGGTCAGATTTATGTGTTTTAAAGATAACTGTGGTTGCGGGGCTGAAAACAACCCAGAGAGGAGCAGAGGCAGATCTGGGTGACCAGCTAGGAGACCACTGCAGGAGTCCAGGCAAGATGGAGGCAGCACGTGGCAGGAAGGCAATGGAGATAGAGATGACAAGTTCAAGGGAGATGTGGGAGGCATGATCAACAGCGCTTTGTGCTGGGCTGGACTTGGGAGGTGGAAGGTAAGGGAGAAGGAGCGTCGGCGATGCCACCCTGTGCAGCTTGTGCAGCTAAGTGGATGATGCTGCCACTCACTGAGCCAGGAGACAGTGGAGGAGGAGCAGGTCTGGACAAGCTGGGCCTGACATTTAAATTAACTCGAGGTGAGGCCGGACACTGTGACTCACACTTGTACTCCCAGCACTTTGGAAGATCGAGGCGGGCGGATCACGAGGTCAGGAGATTGAGACCAGCCTGACCAATATGGTAAAACCCTGTCTCGACTAAAAATATAAAAATTAGCTAGCCATGGTGGTGCATGCCTGTAGTCCCAGCTACTTGAAAGGCTGAGGCAGAAGAATCACTTGAACCCAGGAGGCAGA